TTTGGGGGTTCCTTACTATAAGTATAATGGGCCCCAAAACCTTATTCTAATTATCAAGGCCCCTGTATGCTAAACCCTTGTACAACCCTTCTCATAACCCTTATAGTATCCTTATAGTAACCCTTTAAAGGAACCCTATTCTAATTATCAAGGCCCCTATAAAAAGCCCTTAGCCCTAAGACGCTGCTTTTCCAGGGCCTGAAGATGGCCGTGGCCTTCGCCGGAAACTCCACAGCTATCCAGGAGATGTCCCCTTGTCCTTTATTGTTATTTTTGTTTTTAATTGTGGGTCCGTTGCGTAGAATTGCAACGGGTGCTGTTTTTGTTTATGTTTCCGGTGGTTTATGAGATTTTATTAGGGGGTTAAGGGCTTTGTGTTCAGTTCAGGCCTGTGGCGTTTTCTAAGGTTCTAAGGGTCCTGCAAGGAATTGATAGGGGTTTGAAAAGGGAAGGTTTTGTCCAGGCTCGTGGTTGAGGGTTTTTGGGGCATCGCCTTGTGGATGGGTTTAGAGCCAAGCGCTTCGGCGCCTCAGGGTGTAGGGTTTAGGCTTTAGGGTTTTAGTTTTTAGGGTTTTGGGTTTAGTTTTTAGGGTTTAGTTGTTAGGGTTTAGGGTCTAGGGGTTAGGGGAGATTTTGAGCCGGGAGTCGGGTTGAGGGTTTAGGGGGCTCTTCCTTCCAGCTGTTTCCTGGGGTCATGAAACTTGATTGTTGAACTGCACATGGAGCAGGGTTCCTGGTCTATGGCTTAAGCCTTCAGTCTTAGATTTGGGCTAGATTCCAGGAAAACTGGATACAGCACCATAGCCCCTGAACCCTAAACCCCTAAGCCCTGAACCGTAATAGCCCCTGAACCCCTAAAGCGCTAACCCTAAATTTTGCACCCTGCGCCCAGAACCTGGGCTCGGAAAGCCTTAGGGTTTAGGGTTTAGGGTTTGGGGTTTATAGGGTTTAGGGCTTAGGGTAGACTCCCCAAGCCCCACTAGGTTCTATCGTCAGGAAGAGCTTTGGATGCGTGTCCCTTTCACTTCGAAGGTGGAT